AACAGATCTTCCAAGTGATATAATTCTAAAGTTAATACAAATAGTGTCAAGAATTGTTTTTATTTAAAAGAAAATATTCATCAGATTTCTTTTTATTTTTGTTATGACACTTAGTACCCTTCAAAATGACTTATAAGAAACAACAGTAATATTAGCTGAATACAATTTTCACACATAAATTATATATGCACCATTCAGTGAAGCCAGATTTCTTCTCAAGCTTGATTCTCTAAGATAACTTTGTAAAGTAGAAATCATTTGCTCTCCGATGTAATTCACATTCCTAACAAATTCAGTTATGCCAGAAGCTAAGCTAGAGGTGGAGACACAAACAGACACAGACAGGAAAAGACGGCAAGAATCAGTAACAGAGGGCAAAGCCTGGCCATTCACAACAGGGACAAACATGCACTACCAGCCAGGAGTCGGCAGTCAGAGTGGAGAGGGAAATCCCGAGGCAAGCATTAAGCTCATTCTGCTCTATGAAACGAGACAGCAACTGACTTCAGAAGTTGCTAACCCCAAACACTGATCTCGAAAACTGTGCAAAACACAGCCTTCAGATAAGGCTCACTACTGAGGACACCTCAGGGCTGTTGGTGAAGATTGTGTGACAGCAGATCAAGCTCCATGACAGCGTCTCACACACAGGTTTCTGATATGCAGTAGTTCTTCCCCTTAACTGGAAAACTCACTTTGTGAAATATTCAATTCCTAATCATAGTAAAAAAAGGGAAAACTTACAGTATTTTCTTTTAATTAATGTTAGAAATAAACACATATTACAGAAAGCATTATGATGTCTAAATACATAACTGCAAATGCAATGGCTGCTTAAAATTCTTTTTTTGATAAATTGTTTTTGTCTTTGGAAATACCTAAGCACCTTTTCATGAGGAATTTGCCAAATTCAGCACATCGTCTATATGGTCTCCCTTTCAGTGTATGTATGTATATATATCCAAGCCTCTTATAAGATAAGAGGAAACAGAAACGATTCGGAGTAGATAACTGCAATGCTCTGAGGAGGGCTGGCTGTCACTGTCAGCGTCTGCTTTTACGTCTCCTTCTAAAATGCCAAAGGGAATCCATTAAATTAACAAAAGGCCAAGAGTTAATTGTAATAAAATGTGAGGCTCAGTGAAGCTGATCAGTCACATGCAGCACCGTCTAGCACTGCGGAATGATGTCACTGCTATCGAGGAAATGGCAAACACTCACTTCCATATGGGCTTTTGGGTATGGATCTAGGTGAGCCACACCATCCTACAGGAGACCAGGAAATCAATCAGTGGCAATTCACTGTATTCAACAGGATCTCAAGTGGTTCTGCCTAATGCGCACTTGAGGAAGACACAGTGTGACAAAGTAACCGGGGCATATGCAATGGCTCTAGCTGCAGTAGAAGGTATTTGTTACTACAGTACGGATGAGAACAGTAAGCCTGTATCATGCTCTAGCTGTAGTAAACGCTATTTGTCACTACACTACTGATGAGAACAGTGACATCATATCATGCTCATGCTCCTTACACTCTGATGAGAATATCAATGTGACCTGTTAAATATCACAGCGCCAGGGACACTGACAGGAACCCTCTCAGCCTAGGTATTACTGCTTCCTGTGCTGCTTCACCTCTAACAAGCTTATCACAATATGAACAATATAACATCAAGATTCTCCATACAGCGCATCTATATTCCTCAGAGAAATCCAACTCCATTTTAAAAGTCTATTTTTTAAAGCAAAGGATATTTTTTTAGATTAACTCATGATTCCATTGCTTAATTGGGTAAAGCTGTTATTAAGACAACAGACTAAACGGTCTTCAAATGTGTATATGTCATTGACACCTCAACAAAAAACATTTTATGACACTATATTCCATAAAAAGTTGTTTTAAGTTTTAAATGTATCTGCCTAATACATAACATGTTTGGGAGTCGTACTACTTCACCATTGGCAAAGTAATAAGGCAAATCAATTTCTAAGAAAATATGTAAAATAATGAAGAGTCTCAATGTCACTTAATTTACCTATGTGAAAATCACAGTTATCATAAACTTTTAACTAGGTAACTGAATGAAGTTATAGCATGTTACAGTCTGTAAACAGTTACCAAAAAGTTTTAATTTCCAAACTAATATTCAAAGTAAACACTTAAGCAATAAACTAGCAACTCCAAAACACATAATTCATTTCTAATATAATGTGAAAATGTTTAACTCCCCCTCCATAGACACACCCTCTGCTTATTTGATTAAACAAAAATAAAATAAGCTGCACAGAAACAATTTTGACGCCCACAGAGACACCAGCTTTGTTTCAAGGCCACACTAGCTGGTATAGCATCCCCTCACTTCTTCTCCAGCCCTCTCAGTGGATTCCAGACACATTCAGAAGCCTGTTAGGTCACACAGCAGATCAGCAAGGCTTTCCTACTGGCTCTTTATTGTCTGCCATGCTTTTAGAAAATGCTTATTCTTTAGATAGAACAATCAAACTGTTGAGTGACTTTCTTTCTTTCAAAAGGCTACTTATGTTCCATGCACATCAAAAGGTAATTCCATGCACATCAAAAGGTAATTAACATGGACATCTTGGAACACACCTATAATCTACCACTGGGGAGGCTCAGGCATGTGGGTCAGAAGTTCAAAGCCTCTTCGAGATATATAGAGAAACCTTGTCTCAAAAAACAGACCCCAAACCCAAAGAGCTACAAACTAGAATCAGAATTGAAAATCCACAACAAAATGCTCACAAACCAAATACATAAATACATAAAATTACACAAACTGGTGGCCTGGAATTATCTCATGAACACAGATGTTATTTTAATATCTGAATATTAATTAGCATGATACACTAGGTGGATTAATAGAATAAAAGACAACATATGGTCACAGAGAAAGTGTTAAGCAATATTCATAATGTTAACAACAAGAAGATTCTACAAGCTAGGTATGTAAAATAACTTGCCAAATGTGACAGAGCAGCTACAGAATGCTCGGGGCTAGCTTCCTACATAACTGTAAACTAATGAACACTTTCTCCTAAGTTCCAGTGCAAGATGGAAGTGTCTACCTTCACATTCTATTCCATTAGAAAAAAGTAGACAAGAAAAAGGAATTAAAACCTATTCAGATGGAAAACAAATATGGCTTTATGTATTTCCTAAGTAAACAACAGAAATCCTAGGAAATGAACACTCAGTAAATCATCTCAGCAACACTGCAGATTTAAGGTAAACTTACAAAACAGACATCTTTGTATCAAAAAAAAAAAATCAATTTTACATACTTGAATACAGAAAGACAGTAAGAAAATAATTCTACATATAGGATTTTTTTAAAAAAAAAGGAAGGAAGGCAAAAAAAAATATGATTAACAAACACCAAGCTTAGTCTGTATAACTACAAACTGCTATAAACTATAAAATGCTACTAAGAGATACTAAACATTTAAACTAGCCTGACCTATTGCCCTCATAGATCAGAATTTAAACTTTACGTGGCAACAGCTCCAAAACTAGTATAGCCATTCAGGAAAGTTCCAAATAACTTTAGGTGGCTTTTTGCAGAAAGCAACAAACTACTCCTAAATTTTCATACAAAGATTCAAGAGGCAGACAATAATCAGAATTAATCTTACAAGAACAGGAGACAAGAACATCTATATTTTCCAATTTAAAATGCACTACAAAGCTAAAACTATCAAAACAGACTTAAACTAGCAATAGAATAAAAATATAAATAATGAGCTGGGTGGTGGTGGTGAACACCTCTAATTCCAACAGAGGCAGGCTCTCTATGAGTTCAAGGCCAGCCTGATAGGGCTACACAGAGAAACCCCATTCCTGAAAACCAAACCAAACCAAAACGACAGATAGATAGATGGATGGATGGATGGACGGACGGACGGACGGACGGACGGACGGACGGACGGACAGACAGACAGACAGACAGATAGATAGATAGATAGATAGATAGGAAAAACAGAGGGTTCAGAAATAAAACCTTCACATGTTTACATAGTTGATATTTGGTAAAAATGACAAAAGAACTTAATGAATGAAAATAATTCCTTATAACAAATGATGTTGGAATAACTAAGTATCCATATGTAAAAGAAGACACTGGTCCTCTTCTTTCAACAACTTAAATGGAAGAGGTAAAATCATAAAACCCCAATATCAAAAGAGGAAGGCAAAACTTCGTGACTTGAGCATAGCAATGATAGAAGTAAAAAGAATGTTGACACAACAGTGTGTACTCACAGCATACATGCTCATGGCTGCAGTATTCCCAGGAGACAGTCTAAATACCCATCAGCTGATAGGTACATTTTCCATCCCAACTGTGGAAAGTCAGTAACACAGAGGAACAAAAATACTGCTACAAACTGAGCAAATCTTGAAACCACTCTGCTAAGTTGCAAAAGACTGAATATTGTATGGTTCTATTAACACAACAGTTCCCAAACAAGCAAATGATAGAAAGTAGATGCCTAAGGGTAGGCAATATGGCTCAGTGGTTAAGAGCACTTATTGCTCTTGCAGAGGACCTGGGTTCATTTGGGATCTGATTGATGTCTTCTGGCCTGGCATGCATGCATGCATGCGTGCGTGCATATATATATATATATATATATATATATATATATATATATATATACGCATACACGTACATACAATACATACACACACACACATGCAACCATTTTATATGAGGCCTTGGTATCAATGGGGATTTAGAATCAATCCTCCATGGTAACTGTACTCAGTCACATGTTGAATAATGTTTCAGTCAATGGCAGAGACCATATATGAAGGTAGTCCTATAAATTATATTGGCTAATAATACCATAACCTTTTTAGTTTGTGTAAAGCATACATTGTAAAATGACAAAATTGTCTAATGATAAATTTCTCAGACTATAGTCATATCACTCAGAAAGTTAAAAGTACAAAAAAAAAATTAGTAAAAATGTTATTCTTCCCTGCCCCTAGAAATGTTACAGGTGGCTGCTGTGTCACATGTGCGTCAGTAGGTAGCAGAGAGAAGATGCTGTCTATACTAAGGGTTCTGACCTATGAACATCTGAATGACTAGAAGCCTAACATTCTCTGAAAAAAGCGAATTTGAGACAACTACCAGTCCAGTACTGTGATGCATAGGCCCAGAGTGGCTTCCTGGACCAGGAGCAAGTGGGAGACCAGAAGAACCCTGCCTGGGACTGAGGGCCCTCAGGCAGGAGGCCCCTAAGCATACAGACAACCTTTGCATGGAGCTACCCGGGTAGGCCAGGTGAGGAGCAACTAGACCAGTGCCAGGGGGTCTAGACAGGAATCAAGCATGAGACAACCACCAGTCAGGCACCAGACAGGTACGGAGTTGTGTGTGTGTGTTGGGGGGAGGGGACAGACACGACAACACACAGACCATGCCAAAGATGACCCCTGACCAACACCATAATTCATGAGCAGGAAATAGCACCCCTAAAACCATTCCTGAGAAGACCCCAGACAGTCAGAGACCCTGGGCACCTCTAAGAAGAGCAAGGAAGTGGTGGAGTCAGAGAAGAGAAAGAGAGACAGAAGGATGTGGGCACAATGAAGGCAGAACTGGAGAGTCAAGGGTAGTGAGGAGCAGCCTGATGTGAGTAGTCAGGGATGCCACCTGGGACCAACCATGGTTGAGTATGTCCTGTTCTGCCACCAGGGTCATATCTGGTCTGTGTCCCTGAAGCAGCAAGGGTCTGTTACCACCAAAAGCCAGAGGGACATCCCTGGTCTGGGCTCCTGGCTAGGGACATGTTGATGTCAAAGGCTGTGCAGAACTGGCCACACCCCTCACCAGCTGCAGCCCTCAGAACCTTGTCTGGGCTGCACAGTAGAGCTAACCATGGTGGCGGAGTGGATGGGGGTAGAATGTGCAAGCCAGCCCTGAGGGCTTGAGCATGGGTGAGAGGTGGTCCATCACTTGTCTGCTGTACAATGGGGGAGAGGTCACCCCACATCCCCCTTGCCACCAATGGCAGGCAGGAGAACTAAGGTCATCAGAGCAGGAGACCTAGCCCTGGCCCAGCACTTATGAAGCAAGTCCTACACCTCACCTGGACAGCACAGTAGGGCTGGCCCTGGATGTGAGTATTATGGGTGAGCCAGCCCCCAAGGACGTTAACTGTGGGAGAACCAGTCCTGCCTCTTGTCTGCTGGGTGATAGCATAGATGGGGGAGAAACACCTTGTTTCCCTCCCTTGTCCCTTGCCATATAAGGCAGGCAGAAGAGCTAGAGCTGGAGTCATGAGAGTGGGAAAATTGGCCAAGTATCTCACCAGCTGCAAAACTTGGGAGAGCAGGCCCTGTACCTCACCTGGGCAGCAGAGTAGAGCTGGCCCTGGGTGAAGGTTGAAGTGGGTGTTGTTACTAGTGAGCTCACCCTGAGGATGGGAGAGCGGGAGAGGCAGCGGTCTGACCAGCTCAGATACCTCTCAGGCCCAGATCCTGGGCTTTGAATTGGTCTACCCCAGCATCTACCCCATCAATGAACTGCTGGACTGCATGAAGGGGCTGGTCCTTCAGATGCACAGATCTGACACAGGGCAACCACAGAGGAGTCCTAGTAAGATTCCAGTATCACCAGAGTAGCAGAAGCCAGAGGCCCCATACCAAATCAAAACAAGCCATTGCAATGAACTTCTACAGGCAGGGAAGAGTATTAAAGGGGTATACTGTGGGACACACTGTGACACACTACAGCTTCCACAATGAGATTTTTTTCCCCCTGTTGGGGAAGAGGTTGTAAGGGTGGAGGGCAGGTAGGAGAAAAGGGAGAAATGAGTGAGACTGATAGGAAATTTACAAAGAACCAATGCAAAATTTTAAAAAATGTTATTCTTCAGTTAAAATATAAGACGTTAGAATTTGCTTTTAAAAAGTAAGATCCAGCTGTAGAGTTGCTAAATTCCTCTGCTTTCTTCTTTTTCGGAGTGTCTAGCAAAGCTAAAAGTACTCCCCACCCAGCCACCCCTACCTCCACGGCTAGCTAGGGTCACTCAGCTTGATGAGTGTAGATTTCACCCCTCATCAAAGAAGCTTCTTTTTGCATCAGATGAAGACCATTACAGGGATTTGCAACTGGTTAAAATGTATAAAATAAGTGGCCATGGTATACACAACCCCAATGATATAATTATAATATAACCCCTCCACTTAGCACTCAGGGAATATTGTGAAGGAGAGTAGAAAGATGTAAGAGCCATAGGACCAGGTGCCTGATGTGTAGTATCTACACAGGACAGGGACGCTGCGCCCATGGAATCTCAACACCATCACTGCTAACAAGATTGGCTAACAATGCTACCAGTCAATATGCCAATGTAAGTAGGGAAAATTTCACGAGGCCCATCCCTATACGCAATAGGAGGCTGCTGGGAGTATCAGGTAAAGGGGGGAAATGGACAAGACAGACAGACACATCAGTGGTTTTCTTTTTCTTTTTTTTTTTTTTTCCCCTGGGACAAGCCCCTGATAGGTTATTCAGTCCCAAGGGCTTTGGTCAGCTCAAAACACAAGTACATAAAAGCAACATTAAACCAACTCAGTAGTGTGTGTGTGTGTGTGTGTGTGTGTGTGTGTGTGTGTAACAATAAAGGAGTCATGAATTTGAAAGGGAGAAGGGGACATTCAGGAGTTGGACGGGAAGAGGGAAGGGTAGAAATTATTTTAATAATAGTACTCATATGAAAAAATTTGCAAAGACAAAACAGTGGCTAGAGAAATGGCTCAGTGGTTAAGAGTACCTGTTACTCCTGCAGAGGCTCTAAGTTCAGTTCCTAGCACCCACAAGGTGACTCACAACCACACGCAACTCCAGTGCTAAGAGAGCTGATACCCTTTTCTAACTTCTACGGACACCAACTGTGCTCTGGTAAACATATACACACAGGCAAAATGCTCCGACACAGAACACATCCTCATTTTGAAAATTCAAATACACATTTAATAAACACACTGGCAAAGACTTACTTATGAGATCTGCCGTGTCTCTACTTCTATTACAACACATATAATCATGTAAACGACACAACAAAGTAACATTCCCAAATACTGTACAAGTACTTACAGAGGCTTCTATGGCCTTGAATCAAAAAAAAAAAAAAATCAAGAAAACTCATTTCTGGATAGAAAACTTCACTTCAAATAGAGTGGCAGATCTCTTCAATGTGAAGTCTCAGAAAGAAACAGAAAAAGGATATGCTTCCAATTTGTTACATAGAGGTGTCTTCCCCAACTCTGATGACCTGATATAAATTTTGCAGAGCCAAGGGGTTTATGCTAAGAGCAGTGCTGTCCAGAACCACAACCCTGTAGAATCACTTCCCACTGGAGTTAACTGTACTCACATCGATATCTTCTTCCGTAAAAGTTTCCGGGTCTTCTCCCATCATGTTGGCTAAGTGCCTCTTCCCTATGTTGAATTCTTCAATCTGCTTTCTAATAAAATCCTCTGTATATGACTCCTTTCTTGAGACTTGGGCATTTTTCTTTGTTGTTACAACTGTGGTATGTATGAGCTTTAATAGCTAAGGGACATAAATGGAAAAAAAAAGAAAGTATTTGAAATTAAACAGTGAATTAATAGGCCATTGTCTCTAAATAAAACAAAGTATAATTTGTCATCCTTAGTTAACAAGTGTTCAGAAATAAAGAAAAGAGGTCTAACACCCAACCAAGGTGTTAGAACTAACCTCTGCTCAAAACCTATCAGTACATTAATTCAGAAGCATCTCAACATGCCTGAGTCAAAAGACCTGCAAGCAGTATGCTGTGCCTCTTGACTGTAAGCACCATATCTGGTCCTGTTTGGTGATGACAGTGAGCTGTCATACTGGCTACCTCAAGAATAAAGAGAAATCACCACTTAAAGCAAACAAACCTACAAAACCAGGCACTTTAACTAGCACTCAGAAGGCAGAGGTACTGCGGGGCGGGGTGTAACCCTAAGTATGAAACCAACCTGTCTGCAGAACAAGTTTTCCAGAACCTCTCAAAATACAAACAGGCAAATGCATGAATCAAGCAGACAAGAGGGTTCAGGATGGTACTGTGGCCTTGTGGGTACTCCCTTGTTTGAAGGAGAAACACAAAAGTGTGACTTAGGACTTTATATATTCATATTCATTCTCTCTCTCTCTCTCTCTCTCTCTCTCTCTCTCTCTCTCTCTCTCTCTCTCTCTCTCTCTCCTCTCTCTCATATGTATCATACACCTATAAAAACAAATATAATGAAGAAAATGACCCTATACTGACTCAATGTTAGATTTCTGGTAAACCTGGCTCAACATGCTCTGTGCAAATGAAGGCTTTCTGTCTTTTGTTTTTCTCTGTCTTTCTTGATGCAGCAGTAATCACACACTTGCTGTTGTTGGTTCTCCCACGCTACAATGCAAACAAGGAAATTCCTTCCAAGACAGTAGCACTTCACCTTCAATGAACAGTGTCAAATATTAAAATAAGACATACCTTTCTGGTCTTCTCTTAAAATCTGAACTGCACTAGTTTGTCTCTGCCCCAGCAACTTTAAACATTGCTAATGATACTCAGATTTCAGAGTCATAATCTCAGTAATACTCTTACTTCTGCCTCATACACATTAAAAATCTCCTTCACACACACAGGGCCCATCCTTCCTACATGTTTCTCCTTCTTTTCTGAGAATCCTAAATTCAGAACATTCTACAACAATTTGCCACTACAGTTGCAACAAAAATGAAAGAAAAAAATAGAAAATATTACAATGCCCAATTAACAGTAAAACTTACATTCTGAATAGCCTCTGAATTAATTGGGTGAAAACTATTTTAACCCACTCTTTAATGGGCAAGAAACAGCAATTTAAAACTCCATAAAACCTTAGTTTATTTTTGCTTAGGAGAGCAGAGCTTCACCTTTGAAAAATATAATTACTCAACAATTATATTCTCATACAACGCTTTGCATGGTGTTACCATTAATGAGTAAAAACAAGACCCCAGGAGCTCAGGTCCCAGCAGTCTCTCCTGCTAGCTTTGTCTGTCCTGGTTACCTGAGGATGAGAGAATGAGCATGGCACGTTTACTC